GATATGCTGACTCTGTAAACCGCTTAGAGAGGGCTGAAAGCCCTATGAAGCGGTATATAAGTCTAACTGCTATTGCTATTGCTAAGAGAGCATTGTAAAAATTAAAGGTGCATTTCACCAAATTCCTGATTTAAAAAAAAGCTCAGAGGGCGAACTACAAACACAAATTGTACTGCCGTTTCATTGGGAAAATACTACAGATAACCGTCGACTTAAAACAGTTCATTTAATGACGATTCAACAGCACTGAAAAAAGTGACTTACAACCATTTTTCAAACTTGTTGCAGCAGCCCCATGGACACATGATCAGAATTCAGACGCTTGGCCACTGATTCATACTTGTGACGGTTGCAGTGTCCCAGGGTCACACGACCCCCTTTTGACAAGCAAAGTCAATGGGAGAAAGCCAAATTCACTTACTAGTTTAACAACTACAGTGACTTAACAATCGAGGCAAGAAAGGTCGTAGAACGCGGCAAAATTCACTTAGCAAATGTTTCACTTAGCAACAGAAATGCTGGGCTCAATTGTGGTCATAAGTCGAGGACTAACTGTATTTTCAGGGGATGGGAGAGGAGGGGGAATGAAGAAATGTCTCCTTCCTTCGCTTGTAAAATGGTTTATTTAGAAAACGCTTTAAAATAAAAACAAAACAACCCACTCCCAAATTTCCTGAAAGCAACATAAACTGAGAATGGGCATTTGTAAAAACAACAACAACAACAACAACAACAACAACTTGTTCTTCAACAAACCGTTCAGTGCTATTCTTTCATAGTGGCATCTTTGTATTCAAACTGCACCAGTGCACAAAATGGGTGATAAAAGGCTCGCAAAATGTATAACGTTCCTTCGATCGCGGTTTCGGACAGCTTAACTTTTTAGCTGTTGCTCATTGTTTTCTTCACAATAATGCACCAGTTGCCATGGTCGTAGCTTGAACTTACTATGCGAACCTCAGGGATGTTTTCTTCCAGCAGAGAGCACAGCTCCCCTTCGCGGAAAACATGGTAATAGCGCATAAAGGCTCTGGTGTCCTGTCCGTTAACCGCGCAGTCTCCTACCGCCACCGCTGATTCGACCACAGACTCGCTGGAGCTAACGGATGAAATCCTTCTGAAGGGTTTTCCCGCGAAGGAGTGACTATTGCTTTGATGGTTACGGCTGTTCTTGACGTTTTCCATAGAACTCCTTAGAAATGAGGTTTCCCCGTTGCGGTGTTGGATTAAGGTTGCCGGCTCCCCATCATAACCCCTCAGGGACCCCGAAGCTGCCAGCCACTGGATTTGTTCCCGGGCTCCACACTTTGTAAACACATCGTCATAGCGATCGAGCTGTCGTTCTCCGAGCAGTGCTGACTCACACCCTAAGTCTACGCTGCAGTGCCTGAGGGGCTGGACAGAGATGGCGCTGCTTGTCCATCCCACTGCATCCTTCAAGGGATCCATCTTGTCATGTTGCTTTCTTAAGACAGATTCGTCAAGAGATCTGGAGGAAAACCAGGAACGGAACGATCTCCCCAGGGCACCGTAAAATCGCTTTTCTTCGTCGGCAGAAATTTTCACGCAGCAGGACCCGGAGAGGCAGTTACCCAATTTCAGAGGGGGTTTCTGATCAAAGGGACCAGGCTGACGGCCTTTTAAACCCATCGGTGGTTTTGAGTGCGTGGTCTGAGATTCCATAGGGGGTGCGGTATCAGTTTTAGGCCCGGGTTTATTGGATTCTGAAAGCAAGCGAGAACACAAGGCTTTGTTCCAAGGAACAAATACATCTTGTTTCTCAAAATGTCGGGTTTTTTGCTCCATAGCCCAGACATAAATCATCATTTGGCCACCGGGAACCAGCACCCTGACCATTTCTTGGATCGCCTGGATTCGTCTTCGTTTTGTGGAGAAATGATGAATCACTGAAAGAAGAAGAGGAAACGTGTTCTTTCATTAGGGCTTGAATTAAATGTCTTTATAATCATATATCAAGGTATTGTTCGCTAGGTAGCAATTTTGGTATTTTCAAAATTAATTCTTGGTTCTACTACACTGTAGGGATGCAGTGGCTCAGTGGCTAAGCTTGTCGATCAGAAAGGTCGGTACCTCGGTGGTTCGTATCCCTAGCGCCGTGTAACGGAGTGAGCTCCCATTACTTGTCCCAGCTTCTGCCAACCTAACAGTTCAAAAGCATGTAAAAAATGCAAGTAGAAAAATAGGAATCACCTTTGGTGGGAAGGTAACAGCGTTCTATGCACCTTCGGCATTTAGGGTAGAAGGCTGAGTCAACTTTGAGCCGGTCGGAATTGAACTGCTGGCAGTGGGCAGAGTTAGCCTGCAATGCTGCATTCTAACCACTGTGCCACCATCGTTCAAATCACCATGTCTAATTCACTATAATCACTTTTCATCTTTGCAGATACCTGGTTTTATTGGAGGTGGGAGGCATATTGTAGCTTAAGATTCCAATGNAGTTCAGATAACCAGCAAATACCACCTCTGGCTGGCCCCAGAGTGGGGTGGGAATGGAGATTTTGCAATATCCTTCCCCCAGGAGTGGGGAGGGACTGGGGATTTTGCAGTATCTTTTCCCTGGAGTAGGGTAGGAATGAGGATTTTGCAATATCCTTTCCCTGGAGTAGGGTGGGAATTGAGATTTTGCAATATCCTTCCTCCTGGAGTGGGGAGGGAATGGGGATTTTGCAGTATCCTTTTCCTGGAGTGAGGTGGGATTGGAGATTTTGCGTATCCTTCCCCCAGGAGTGGGGAGGGATTTTGCAGTATCCTTTCCTGGAGTGGGGTGGGAATGGAGATTTTGCAATATCCTTTCCTGAAGTGGGGTGGGAATGGAGATTTTGCAATATTCTTCCCCCAGGAATGGGGAGGGAATGGGGATTTTGCAATATCCTTTCCCTGGAATGCGGTAAGAATGGAGATTTTGCAGTATCCTTCCCCTGACAGGCCCACCAAGCCATGCCCACAGAACCAGTAGTAAAAATATTTGAATTTCACCACTGTTTAAGACATGTGGACTTCAACTTCAAGACTTCCCTTGGCTGGGGAATTCTGGGAGCTGATGTCCACAGGTCTTACAGTTGCCAAGGTTGGACACCCCTGGTCTAGACAAAGCCACCATGGTTGCAATGATCTTGGAGATCATTGGAGATCACTTCATCCCCCAGACTACAGTTGGTTAGTACCTTTCTTGAAATCAATCAGAGGGTTTCCGGATTATCTGAAATAAGTGACATGAATGATTACAGATTGGGTGCCAGCTTCGTTTGAACTGTTTTGGATTCAGACTATTGTCTCAGTTATAACTGACCTTAAAATACAAAGTTTAAGGCTTCAATATTCAGCCTCATTTTGAACTTCTCTATTTTCCTACCGTGTTTTAAATATATGTAGCATCCTGCCTATTGAAAAGTCCTCACGAACTCAATAGCTTACAGACACTTGCCCTTTAAAGCTCACCTCCATAGTTTGGATTAGAGTTAGACACTTTAAGCATCAATTGTTTTCAGCTTAACATAAATTGAAGTTTATTCTGAAGAAGTTGGATTTATTCTCAATAGAAGTCAAAAAATATTAATAAATCTGTATTATTATATGTTGTTAGTTGCAAAGTTGTGTCCGACCCAGCGCCAACAAAAGTGCATATCGTCAAGGCTATGATTTCTCCAGTTGCAATGTATGGCTGTGAAAGTTGGACAATAAGAAAGGCTGAGCGCCAAAGAATTAAGACCTTTGAACTATGGTGCTGGAGAAGACTCCTGCGAGTCCCTTGGACTGCAAGGCAATCAAATTGGTCAGTCCTAGAGAAGATCAACCCTGACTGCTCTTTAGAAGGCCAGATCCTGAAGATGAAACTCAAATACTTTGGCCACCTAATGAGAAGGAAGGACTCACTAGAGAAGAGCCTCATGCTGGGAAAGATTGAGGTCAAAATAAGAAGGGGACGACAGAGAATGAGGTGGATGGATGGAGTCACCGAAGCAGTAGGTGTGGCTTAAATGGACTCCAGAGGATGGTAGAGGACAGGAAGGCCTGGAGGAACATTGTCCATGGGTTCATGATAGATCAGACATGGCTTCACATTATTATATAGCAGAAAGCAATTTATGGAGTGAGGGTTTCCCCTATTATAAAGGTAGAGATTATATATTTATTTAATTTATATGCCTCACATTTCACTATCCAATGACTCTGGCCTGCTTATTGGTGCACCAGAAAGAGCAAATCTTTCTTTTTAATTAGAACATTCACCATCTTTACCCAAGAGGGGAAAAAACCCTTCTATTTGAAACTTTAACCTTCCAAAGAAATAATTATTTTCAAAGAGTATTAAACTAAGGTGTTAGGAACTGCTTATCTCTAATTAATGTTCTTATATATCAGATAAAATCGGGTATTATCTGATGACTTGCTATCAGATAACATTTTTTAAAAAATCAATGGTTTTTTTCCTGTGAATTTAAATAACTGCTTCCTGTTGATAGTTGACCTCTTGATCAAAAGCTTTGAAATAGGTAGATTCCTTAGTTCTTTTTTCAGATTAATTTGTTATTGAATACACTGAAGGAGCAACAACCAGATCTAAAATAGACATTCACTGATAACAGTTTGGATAGTCAGTTAATTCACTGCAAGGAAACATACTTCTTGAGCATAATACTAAACAGTGTTTTAGCGATACAGGCATCGAATCGTTTCTCCCTCTAGCTCTAATTTTTTGAGTTGGCATCACAAGGAGAATGGGAATTTTTTTACTTCCATTTTTTGGGTAGCATAGTTTAAGCCAAAGTAAGTTGTTGGTGCTAAAAGTAGGGTTTAAGGAAACAAGGATCATAGAATATGGCTTGAAGTTGGTTTGTTTCATTAAATCCCTACTGAAAGCTAGCCACAGCCCATGTAAGATTTGAAAACACCAAGAAAATTGTCATTGCCTGAATGAGGCATATGGAAAAAATTAAGTTTTGGGAATGTTTGAAATATTGCAGCTCATCCAATAACACTTCATACCAGAACAGGGAGTTGAATTCCACAAGTCTTAAAGTTGCCAAGGATGGAGACCCCTGCTTTAGATAGAAGCATTCACATTTGTTCAGATCTCATATAGCAGCCACAATCGGGACTGGCAACTCGGTCCTTAAGCAAAGCGGTTGCTAAGTGAAACTGTGAGAAGGTTTATGATCTTCATTCAGCTTCCCTTTGCTTTACGGACCTGCAAAGTTCATTAAATCAAGGATTGGTCATAAAATTACTTTTTCATCACGGTCATAATTGTTGTTAATGGGGGACTAGTGGTTAAAGTGCAGTACTGCAGGCTACTTCTGCTGATCACCGGCTGCCAGCAGTTTGGCAGATCGAATCTCACCAGGCTCAAGGTTGACTCGGCCTTCCATCCTTCTGAGGTGGGTAAAATGAGGACCCAGATTGTTGCGGGCAAGGGGCTGACTCTGTAAAGCACTGCTATTGCTATCTATGGCTATTGTGACACTACAGTTACAGAATAGAAATCACATTCTTGCTGAGTATTTGCAATCAGCAACTCTTCTACAGAGATTGCTTGTTTTTTTCCTGCAGATATCTTCTGGACAGTTCTTTTTCCCCTATTTTAGTATTTGGGCCTTTTCTGCCTCACCTCTTTAAAATTCCACAGGAAGCAGTTTTCATTTTTTTAGTGCCTTTTGCACTGTTAGTTCTCTGCAGTCTATTTAGCTAGTAAGATTTCTTTAGAGCCGAGGTGGTGGAGTGGTTAGAGTGCAGTACTGCAGGCCACTTCAGCTGACTGCTATCTGCAGTTCGGCTGTTCAAATCTCACCGGCTCAAAGGTTGACTCAGCCTTCCATCCTTCCGAGGTGGGTGAAATGAGGACCCAGACCGTGGGGGCGATATGCTGACTCTGTAAACCGCTTAGAGAGGGCTGAAAGCCCTATGAAGCGGTATATAAGTCTAACTGCTATTGCTANCTCCCTCCCTCCCTCTCCTGCCCAGAACCACCCATGTGCTTCTGCTTCATCATTAAACCATACTTCCAATCAGCCTCCATGTTTCCAGTGTTTTCTCCCGGCTTGGAACTGAGCCAGGTGGATATTCCTTCCTTCCTTCCTTCCTTCCTTCCTTCCTTCCTTCCTTCCTTCCTTCCTTCCTTCCTATAAAGAGAAGAGTCCAGTCTCTCCAGAATAGTGAGGTGCTGCTTGTCTTGAGGAAAAAAAACCTATTCTGATCACTCTATTCTACTAATGTAGATTTCACAGCAACAGTTTGAAGCCTAACTTCAATTATCCATACAGCATTCTCCCATCTCTAGCATGTGTGATAGAATTCTGTGCCTTGAACAAAAATAATTCAGAAACAGAAATACAGCTGGATCAAACCACTCCATTTTTGCCTGTCATTCACTTTTTGAAAAGCATGTATGGCATGCCAAGGTTGCTAATTGAAACTGGTTCTCCACAAGCCACATAAAGAAGTCTTTTTTTCCCCAAACATAAATTTGGAAATTTAGTAGAGGTTTTATCAACATACCAGAGGGGCATTTCATGAAGTTTTAAGGAAGCCCTTTCCAAACAAGTCTCTCAAATATTTTTGGAATTTTCATAATTCTAAAGCAACATAACCAATAGACATTTGGGTTGAAAATTACAGAGGGTGAAGCCCAAATCCCTGGAAAAGCACCAAGCCTGAGAAATTTGACCTAAACTTCCATTGAGATGATTAAGGCTGTGACATGTTCTATATTATTAAACATGATGAACTGCTTTATTGATAGTATTTTATATGAAGCAACAATCAGTCTGAACTTTGCAAGTCAAGTAGCAATTATATTTTTTTATTTAAAAAAAACAGCAAACATAATCTGCCCTTTTTTCCTTCCAAAATGTCATCCTCTACACAGTATGTAATTATTTTTTTGATTCTACCAGATTAATTAAAAGTGCATTTACTGCCATTTGGTTTTCTTTCTTTCTTTTTTTTTAAAATACGAATTGATCTATTTTCTTTTGGCTATGATTCATCCTTTGAAGTATCCATCACAACTTCTAAGGTGAGGGAGATTTCATTATATTTCACACCTTAAGATTATTTTAGTGGAGATGCAGTTGCACACAAGTACAGATTCGGAATGAGTTATAGATCACTGCGGATACATGCTGTATTATTTTAATTACAGCTGCAGATGACAAGAAACATATCATTTTCTAAGTCTCTCCTATAATAAACTATTCTTGCATAGCATTCTGGATATGATGATCTCCCAAAAACTGTGCTATCCTTCTCTCTCTCTCCCTCCCTCCCCTGCTCTCTCTCCCACACACACAATTCTGGTTTAGTGGATTTATTACCCTGTTTCCCCAAAAATAAGACCTCTCCAGATAATAAACACAATCGGGCTTTTGAGAGCATGCGCTAAAATAAGCCCTCCCTGAAAATATTGCANGATTGGAACACCTGATTCTGATTATTTGGATGGGTGAGCAAATACTTTTGGCAATATAGTGTATAAAATCCCTGAATTGGACTGACAAAAAGCCTGACTTCCTATTATCTAATCTTCCTATAATAAGTAAATTAGGAAATATTAATGTAGTGTCATGTAGTGTATATCGAAAGCGTTCCCTCCGGTCTCAGGTGTTGAGGCAATTAAAATCTCTTACCTCCCACTGAGATGATGGCATTGAAGCACAAATCCCGAAAAGGGAGGTGTAGGTTATCACAGATCATCACTTCACAGCCTTTATTTCTTGCAATCTCGATTAAGGGGCCACAATAATCGCATCCAAGGTTATATACTAGGTGGTTGACATCAAGATATTTTCCAATCCCACAACCTTAAACCAACCAAAAGAGAATTTTTATGTGAGGTTGATTGCCTTCATTCGTGAGGATTTCTTATATACAAGAAGAAAGCAAGAAATCGGAAAGATGACCATGGCCAACACCACAGTGTCCTACTTTTAGCTCCCCTGAACATCTTTAAACCTAAAACTTGGGAAGTTGTCCCAGGACTTCTGCACTTTCATTTCAGCATCAGGAATAATGATGGGTTTTCTAAGTTGGGGGGGGGATGCTGGGTAGGAACTTAAAACACCTCTCCGTGCTGGAAGTGGATCGGAGTCTTTCCAATGAAAAGAAGGCCTGGCAGAGATTCAACAATAGGGTTGCTTTGGATTGGTTTCCACCATCCGATCTCTCTGTGTGCTCTGTGTGAAGAATGTACGGTTCAAAAATGGACCTTCAAGACAAAGGAGAAAGGATGTTATATGACTTCCACTTCTGCTCCTCAAGGAGGGGAACATTCCAGTGCTTTAGACAATGTAGAACCTGTATGATCTAAAGCAGGGGTCTCCAACCTTGGCAACTTTAAGACTTGTGGATTCAACTCCCAGAATTCCTCAGCCAGCTGGCTGAGGAATTCTGGGAGTTGAAGTCCACAAGTCTTAAAGTTGCCACAGTTGGAGACCCCTGATTTAAATGCACAAATAATAAGTTCATTTCCTCGGAGAGAGTTTGAACCGTAGGGAATGGTTATATGGTAATAAGAAAAAAACTAGTCAATCAATACCTACCTTCTGGCGATCAACATAATTCAGAACAAGGAATTAAGAGTTTTTTTCTGATCATTCTCCTCCTCACATCCCAAACTGCCATTCTGCCTATGAGCTGTTCACACAGTTGTGATTCTCCTTGTCACTTCTTTTCGTCCATCTCATGGAAGAAGATTCGGACAGTAAGGAGGTTGGTGAGGAACATGGGCCAGTCCTGGAATCTGGGGAAGGCTCGGATGAGGGTTCTGTGTCGGAAGCAGAGATGGGGCCAGGGCCGTCCAACAATTATTGGCTGCCTTCGGAGTTAGACATCAGTGAGACAGACAAACAGCTGGAGCCTGTTCCCAGTGTGCGCATGCACAGAATTGCCAGAGAAAGGGAACAGCTAAGGAACAAGAGTCGACTTGGGGGTAAGGCCACAGGTGGACGGTGAATGGCCCCTCCCAGAGGAAATAAAAGAGGAGCGAAAGGGGAGTGGAATTTGCAGGAGACCATTAGTTCATTCCTGCATTCTTGCCATGTATTGCGGTGTCTGAAAGATATCGGCCTGGCCACTCTCCAAGCCTGATAAAGGTCGGTAATTGTGAACTATCTGGAAAGACTGTGGGAGGTGAAAGATTTTGCTGGAGGGGAACTCACTGTAAATTAAATAAAAGGGGTTTATCGGGATGAGGACTCGGCTTCGTGCTGCTGGGGAAGCTTAGGTGAGAACAAAACAACAACAACAACAACCCCAGAACTTACCAATATCTGCAATCAGGCTGCCAGGCTCCTGTTCAAGTAAAAACTGCCGGACGCGAGGCCACGCTTTGTCTTGTAAGTCATTGAAATAAGAGGCTGTGCTTTCGTAGACCTGATGGACATGCTGCTTTTCTAGCTGGAAGGCCTCATGTTCCATTCTGCAAGAAACCACAGACTGAGTATGCATTAAAACAGCAACAAATCTAGAGACTATGATTAATTTCTAAAAACACAGGGATAATGGTCAATCCCTGATATCAGGAGGAACAACTTGCATCCCCTGAATGCAATTGTTCCTTTTTTTTCCCCCTCAAAGGGAATCACCCAATTGCAATTTTCATCCCATCTACATCAACTGCATCACTTGACTTGTCCCATTGCAGTCCTGATTTGTCGCTAAACAAGAGTATGGAGAAGGCCTTGGAAATAAATGGAATTAAGGAGAAACTTCCTAACAAGTGAGAACAATTAACCAGTGGAAGATCTCGCCTCCAGAAGTTGTGGGTGCTTCATCACTGGAGGTTTTTAAGAAGAGACTGGACAACCACTTGTCTGAAATTGTATAGGGTCTTCTGCCTTGGACTAACAGAATAACAGATAACAGAATAACACAGTTGGAAGGGAGCTTGGAGATCTTCTAGTCCAACCCACTGCTCAGGCTGGAAACCCTACACCACTTCAGACAAAGGGTTATCCAACATCTTCTTAAAAACTTCCAGTGTTGGGGCATTCACAACTTCTGGAGGCAAATTGTTCCACTGGTTGATTGTTCTCACTGTCAGGAAATTTCTCCTCAGTTCTAAGTTGCTTCTCTCCTTGATTAGAGATTTCCACCCATTGCTTCTTGTCTGGACTTCTGGTGATTTGGGAAATAGGTTAATTCCCCTCTTCTTTGTGGTAGCTCCTCAATTATTGGAACACTGCTATCATGTCTCCCCTAGTTCTTCTCTTCATTAAACTAGACATACTCAGTTCCTGCAACCGTTCTTCATGTGTTTTAGCCTCCAGTCTCTTAATCATCTTTGTTGCTCTTCTCTGCACTCTTTCTAGAGTCTCCACATCTTTTTTACATTGTGGCAGCCAACACTGGATGCATTATTCCAAGTGTGGCCTTACCAAGGAATTATAAAGTGGTATTAATACTTCACGTGATCTTG